TACTATTTTTTTTAAAGTGATATCTAATTTTTTTTTTTGTCAATTTAGATGTCTAACGTTATAAATATTATCATTTTAGGTGTTGAGATCGTAAAGCCTGTTAAATTCCATCATTGAGTGACACGTGTTGCGTTTAGGTAATTTTTATTTTTTAAAAAATAAAAAATAATATTTTAAAAACATTATAAAAAAAACCAAAATCCCGTGATCCCTTCCAACCCCAGCCCCCCCCCCCCAACACCCACGTGCATGTGCCTTTAGCCCAAACTGTCGACGGCCAAAGGCAAACAAGTGGGGATTGTCTCAGGAAAGGCGGGTTAATACACGGTTAATATACGGCAGTACCGGATACATTAAAATATATTTAATAAATTCGGTTTAGCGGTACCTATTATGTTGACAACTAATAATGTTTTAGGTAGAAAATATGAAAAACTATTAAAAAATTTGGTAACCGGTAAACTTTGGTTATCGGTAAGTATCTATCCTTTTTATAAAAGTGTCCATACTTTTAACATATCAAGTAAATTTTACCGGTTTTATCATAATGAATCTGGTTTTGTCATATTTTTACTTGTTATATTGTAAAGTATCTATCATTTTATAAAAGTGTCCATACTTATTTCACTGTGAAAATATATTTATTATTATCTTTGGTTAATATTGTTAAATTTAAATTCTAAATAATATTTTATAAAATATCAAAACAATCAAATAATTTTGTGTGTAAATGAAATTATTAAATTAATATTGTAGGTGGAAAACATGAAACACTATTAAAAAAAATTGAAATAAATTATATAACTTTAAAAAAGTATATATCATTTTTATAAAAGTGTCTATACTTATTTCACTGTGGAAAACATATTTATTATATCTTTGGTTAATATTGTTAAATTTAAATTCTAAATAATATTTTATAAAATATCAAATAATCAAATAATTTTTTGTAAATGAAATTATTAAATTAATATTGTAGGTGGAAAACATGAAACACTATTAAAAAATTTGAAACATAAATTACATAACTTTAAAAAAAATATATATCATTTTTATAAAAGTGTCCATACTTATTTCACTGTGGAAAACATATTTATTATTATCTTTGGTTAATATTGTTAAATTTAAATTCTAAATAATATTTTATAAAATATCAAATAATCAAATAATTTTTTGTGTAAATGAAATTATTAAATAATATGTAGGTGGAAAACATGAAACACTATTAAAAAATTTGAAACATAAATTACATAACTTTAAAAAAAGTATATATCATTTTTATAAAAGTGTCCTACTTATTTCACTGTGGAAAACATATTTATTATTATCTTTGGTTAATATTGTTAAATTTAAATTCTAAATAATATTTTATAAAATATCAAATAATCAAATAATTTTTTGTGTAAATGAAATTATTAAATTAATATTGTAGGTGGAAAACATGAAACACTATTAAAAAAAATTGAAACATAAATTACATAACTTTAAAAAAAGTGTCGATCCTTTTTATAAAAAGTATGGACACTTTCAATATAATAGGTAAAAATAGATGTATAGGTAGCGCTTATATAATGTAATAGGTATCGTTTATATAATGTAATAGGTAGTTGTAAAGTATCTCCTTTTTATAAAAGTGTCCATACTTTTTCATTGTGGAAAACATTAATTTAAGGTTATCTTTTGAGTGAGTTTTAAGATATTAATTTAGTAATTATAGGTGTCTAATGATTTATTTTTTACGTTACGATATATATTATTATTAAATTAAAAATAATAAAAATATATATTACATATTTATTATTATCTTTGGTTAATATTGTTAAATTTAAATTCTAAATATTATTTTATAAAATATCAAAACAATCAAATAATTTTTTGTGTAAATGAAATTATTAAATTAATATTGTAGGTGGAAAACATGAAACACTATTAAAAAAAATTGAAACATAAATTACATAACTTTAAAATAAATGTCGATCCTTTTTATAAAAAGTATGGACACTTTCAATATAATAGGTAAAAATATGATGTAATAGGTAACGCTTATATAATGTAATAGGTATCGTTTATATAATGTAATAGGTAGTTGTAAAGTATCTATCCTTTTTATAAAAGTGTCCATACTTTTTTCATTGTGGAAAACATTAATTTAAGGTTATCTTTTGAGTGAGTTTTAAGATATTAATTTAGTAATTATAGGCGTCTAATGATTTATTTTACGTTACGATATATATATTATTAAATTAAAAACAATAAAATATATATTACATATTATTATTATCTTTGGTTAATATTGTTAAATTAAATTCTAAATATTATTTTATAAAATATCAAAACAATCAATAATTTTTGTGTAAATGAAATTATTAAATTAATATGTAGGTGGAAAACATAAAAACTATTAAAAAAAATTAAAACATAAATTACATAACTTTAAAAAAAGTGTCGATCCTTTTTATAAAAAGTATGGACACTTTCAATATAATAGGTAAAAATATGATGTAATAGGTAGCGCTTATATAATGTAATAGGTATCGTTTATATAATGTAATAGGTAGTTGTAAAGTATCTATTCTTTTTATAAAAGTGTCCATACTTTTTTCATTGTGGAAAACATTAATTTAAGGTTATCTTTTGAGTGAGTTTTAAGATATTAATTTAGTAATTATAGGCGTCTAATGATTTATTTTTTACGTTACGATATATATTATTAAAATTAAAAATAATAAAAATATATTACATATTTATTATTATCTTTGGTTAATATTGTTAAATTTAAATTCTAAATATTATTTTATAAAATATCAAAACAATCAAATAATTTTTTGTGCAAATGAAATTATTAAATTAATATTGTAGGTGAAAAATATGAAACACTATTAAAAAAAAATTGAAACATAAATTACATAACTTTAAAAAAATTATCGATCCTTTTTATAAAAAGTATGGACACTTTCAACATATTATAATGTAATAGGTAAATTTGTAATGCTATCAGTATAAATATACCGGTTTACTTATAAAATAGGTAAATATAAGCCTACCTATTACATTATATAAGCGCTACCTAGTATGTTATTGTACTTTATAATATTTTCGGTTAAATAATATAACATAACCGGTCTAAATTTTAACCGGTCACTTGTTTTACCGGTCACGCCGTATATTAGCCGTTTTTTAGGCGCCGCACCGCAGAACTACCCAAACAAGTGGCCAAGGAATTTAGAGAATTTTTAAGGATTTAAATGTTGGCAATGACCAGAGTAGCAGTGGCGGCAGTCCACGTTGATATAGATATTAGATTTAGGGTTTTTATTTTTTTTTTATTTTTTTAAGATTTAAAAAAAATCAGATTTCCCCCCCCCCAAAAAAATATATATATAGAATTTTAAGTTTTTTTAAATAAAATTTTCAAAATTACTTAAATGCAACATGTGTCACTTAACAGTAAAATTTAACGTCTGCTACGGACTAGATACCCAAAATAGTAATATTTATAAAGTTAGACACCTGAATTAACAGGAAAAAATTTAAACGCCACTTAAAAAACAGTATAATTTAAACATCTATATTTATATTAAGCATTCCCAAATATATGAAAACTAGAGTATTTACCCACAACTTATCCCATTCATGAATGATTTTTCAGCCCAACTACAGCATCTGGGTTTGAAGACCTAGTCCTCTTCAGCTTTAGATCGTGCGACATTATATTTTTTAATAATTACGTAATAATTTAACATCAATATTAATTTTTTAATATATTAAAATAGATAATACATCACAAATTATAAAATGTTAAATTAAAAATTATTAAATAAATATATTATAAGTAAAAGGGTTACATTTGTCTCTGTAGTAGACCTAATTTATCATTTTCGTATCAATTTAACTCTTGAAGTTGTCTAATTGCATCATTATATATCTTAATCCTAACTTAAAACCCTAATTTGAGGGTTTTAAGTTAGAATTTAAGGTTGATGGTCTAGAGGTTATGAATTATGGTTTAGGGTTTAAGATTATCAATTTAAAGTTTTAAAATAGTTGTATAATACAAAATGATACAATTACACAACTTTAAAAGTCAGACTAATGCGAAAATACAATAAGTGCGAAAATGATAAATTGAGTATACTACAAGAATAAAAGTGACCCTTAAGCCTATATTATACCTTTTACTTTAGATCTTTGTGAACCTTTTTAGCCTCATATTTTTATGCTTAGATCAAAATTATTGACTCGTGAGAGGACTCTATTGATGATATTCCGATTTCTTTCGAGAATAAGTATTATAAGAAACTATTTTATATTATCTCTTTTTATTTAAAATACCAGTGAGCATGGTCATGTTTCATATATGTTATTTTATATGAATAGTACCCTTTATATTTTAATTTTTATTAATTTATTTTTTAATTTTTAATTAATTATTTTTTAATTTTTATGTTATGATATTTATATTTTTTAATTTTTTATATTTTAAAAAAATTAAATAGTCACTGAAATTTCAAAAAATCAATTTAACCCTCGAATTTAATCAAAAAAATTAACTTAACACAACATTCACGTCATCAACAACCAGACTGTCATGTCAACATTATTTATCGTAATGTCAGTATCTTAAACTGTCATATCAATATCGTAACAATCAACGATAAAAATTAATAATCAAATAATCACATTAAATTTTATTTTTAAGTCTAAGATTCACATTAAATATAAAAATAATTCAAAAATCGCATTGTTTTTTTCTTTTTAAATGTGAGTACCTCACATTCCATTAATCCATTAATTAGGGTAGTTTTGTTGTACAACAACCTTAATATACGGTTAATGAAATACTTTACCGAAAATGTTATTTTTTTTAATATTTCCAAAAAAATGTTACCTCAAACATTATTTTTTTTATCGAAAATGTTAATTTCTCTAACTAATTTTCAGTAGAACCTTATATTAATATTTTCGGTAGAAAAATAATATTTTAGGTAACGTTTTACTACAAATGTTAAACATTTTAGGTGGCGGTCAATATTAACATTTTCGGTAGAAAAATAATATTTTAAGTAACACTTTACTAAAAATATTAAAAATTATTAACATTTTTGATAACGCATTTCCTTGGATGTATATTAAGATTACCATACCAAAATATCCCTATTAATTATAATTATTAATGAATGCGCTTTTCCATTAGTCAATATCAGCTTTCTATTAACTCTAGTTTCCCAAATTTATTTATAATAGATATATTGATAAAATTATTCCTTTAACATTTGTATAAATAATTATTTTGATCTATGTTTTTGGGTTTATTTCGGTTCAAGGTAAGTAATATGAAAATATTTACCACTCGAACTAATTTAAGTTGGTTTTAATTTCTATTTTTTTGAGTATTTTAGTTTCAAATATTTAAATTTTAATTAAATATTCCTCATTGGAAAGAAATCATTAGTTAACTAATGATCAACATATGTTGTTGATATAACATTTTCACGTATGTTTAATTACTGATGTAATACATGTCACATTATCAATTGACAAAAATAATACAATCATTTGTTTTAAATATATTTTTAAATGATTAAAAATATTAATTAATACAAAATCATTAAGTTCAATAGTTTTGATAAAAAAAATTCCAAAATGTTTAAAGAAATTTATTGTCTCAAGTAATGAAATTAGAGTAATAAATCAAATTATCATTTCAAATTATTTAAAATATGCGATGAAATGAGATATGGTGTTAAAAAATAGATTAAAAATAATTAAAACCTGACAAAATAAAAAAATACATAAATTTACGAATCTAGCACATAAAATATAATTTAAATTATAATTATAAATTGTTTAGACGTAATAATACTAATAATAATAATGGATCTACACATGTAGATTTGATTGGATTGGGAGGTTTGGGGAAGCATGTGTGTTTGGTACGGAGAGGAGATGGTGTGTAGCTAAGAATGTAGGGTTTTTTGTCCTAAAGTTTATGTCGTGTTAATACATTATCGACGTCCCCATTTCTTTTCATTATCTCTTTCATCTTTGATGGGCAACAAAACAAACACAAGAGGAAAATGAAATCTTCACCCATCTCATACCATCTAACTCCATCCCATTCTCTATTGTTATTTACGACAACGAACATAAGATTTTATGATAGAGTTCAAATTTATAAAATTTTAAAAGGAGACGAACTTACAAAATTTTATGGGGTGAAAATAGGTTTTTAATAGAAAATACAAAAAAATCTAAAATATATATAAATTTAAATTTTTTTAGGGGAGTGACCGTCTTGGCCTAAGTCCACCCTTAGCTACCTATTTTCTTTTAGGTATAATACTGTTTGTGATTAGACTATGATTTATCGAAATTATAAAATACTCAGAATTTGGATTTATCGAATATGTTCATATTATATGAATTAATATATCTTTTATAGTTATTTTTGAAGATTGATTATGAGAACAAGGTGGACTCGTCGTCCCTTCTAATTTGGATGAAGAGTCACAATCGGTGATTGAGTGGTGGTAGTCGGTGTTAGAACAAAGTCCTAATTGATATAAAATCAAGAACCCAAAATCTATCATGTGAAATCATCAAAGGGTTTGTACATGAATTAATTGAGAGGTTAAAATCTTTGAGTCTAAATCTTTGAGTCTTTCTTTGATTGTGATACTCCAAGAAGATATGTTTTCTATTGCCGTAAAACTCTATGACGGGACAAGAGTAATAAAGTTAACTTATTCCTTGGGGACCGGTACATTTTTTTTATAGAATGAATATTAGGTCAATCTATATTAAATATTTATAATTCTACTCTTAATTAAATTATAATACAATTTATGACATCTACACTTTAATTCCATGATATTTTAATATCTATGATACATGTAACAAAATTAGCCATTTAATTTTGTTTCATTAAGGTGGTTAATATCAGATCTAAGGTCATTATAACTATTAATAAATTATCAGTTTGCATAATACAATTGTCCATCATCATATTTGATTATGAAAATCATATCAATTGATGAATGAGAGCTCCAAGTAATCTCACGTTTTTAGAAGGTTTTTAAAGTTCTTGTTTAGTTAGTGTTATGGATAACAACGTTGGCCGAGTGTCAATTTTCCGGAGAATTACCATATTAACCGATCTCTAATTCCATTAACTTTTAACATGATTTTAAATTGAATGGATTGAATACAGCCTTGGTTGCAACTGGCATCCTAAAATGGCTTATTTTGTAAACACACAAACTTCGCATATTTTTTTTATCATCTTCTTGCTTTGGAAAATGAGTTCATTTTCTCTTCTTCAATTCATAGGGGGATACTTGGATGTTACCAATTTACTTGCTAAATGACTGTCATGAACTCATAAGATTAACCTCTTAAAATAGTCTTCAGATTCGTTGCAATAGGGGACATGGGGCCCCAGAACCCACCAAAGGAAAGATGATACAATTATAAAATAGTACATCACTGTTAACAAATTTGTACATCACAGAATGCTTCAAGTGCAAGTTCTGGTTTTCCACATTAGCATAAGAAATAAAAGCAAAGCAAAGAAATAAAGATGTGTGCAATATTGTGATGATTAAAGGGTCTGTAATTTCTTTCCCACATGCTTGTCCTTGTGAATTTCAGAGGCATCAGCTGCCCATCTATCTGATTCCTGTTCAACACCTTCAATGCTACTGTTTTCAAAGGAACTCCAATGTCTACAGGCAAAAGCACCTCTTCCAATTCCACCCTTTCAGTATACGTAAGCTATGCATATATTATATATGGATTGGTTTAGGATTATAAAATGATATCAAAATCGAATTCTGTAAGGCACTATGATATCTAAACGTAAACCACATGTGTCCTTATCATAAGAATAAGTGATCGCCTTCACCCAATTCCTCCCAGCCTTTCACCAAGTAAACCTCCCCCGACACGACACTCTGATTCTCCCACGTGTCGTTCGTTGCCAACATTTAATCACGACCATTCATCATCAAGACTTTTGCCACCGGCCTTGACCAGGACACCCCACAGCCTTTGGATCTCGCCGAATATATTGTCACAAGGAAGCTGAAACCTGCAGCAAGGGCAAGTGTTCCTCTTCTTCAGCCATGGCAATATGCACATCCAATGGAACAAATGCTGGCACGGCAACTTACACACCTCTCGTCCTTCTCTCATCTCCTCTTTGCATATCACGCACTCCACGCCACCGCCTCTCACCTCCACCGCCGGCAACGACACCACCGCTTCCGGTGATGCGGCCACCTCCTTCCCTTCTTTCCCACCGCATCCCATTATTCCTAGCAGCCTCTTACACCTCGTCACCATTTCGATATACGGGATCAAAGCAGCACCGTCGAAGATGCCAGTGATACCGGTGATCTTCAACGTGATGTTGGAGCATATACTAGCTAAGACTTGGCGCCATTCACCGTGCGGTCTCTCGAGTGCTTCCGGGTTATCATGGTATGCTTCACAAAGAAAGAGGAGGAGGAGGACGGCGTCAAGATCGCGGTGGTTTATGGTGGTGGAACGGTTTGACAGCCGTGGAGGTGGAGGCTGGAAGTAACAGGTGAGGTGATGGAGGGAAAAGAGGAGGTGGCGGGCGATGAGGAGGGTCTTTTGGGGGAGTGATAGAGTGTGGAGGCGGTGGAGGGTGAGAAAGAAGAGACAAGGGGAGGAGAGAAGGTGGCAAAGACGGCGGCGGTGATGGAAAGAAAGGGAGAAGATGGAGTAACTGAGATCTGAAAGCTGAGAAGGGCGGAGAGTGGAGATTGCCGCCATAATTGTCGTTTCTTCTTCCATCATCATATATGGGATCGTGTGCTGTGTAAACTCTCTTTAGAAATGCGTGGGAATTTTGATTACTGCGGCTTTTTATGTCAAAGTTTTGGCCCATCACGTCCCTTTTTGTAATTAACGTATTGAAAATACCCTTTAAATACACCATTAAAAATAAATAGAAAAATACCCTTTTTTATTAAGGGTTAGTTTGGTAATGTTGTCTAAACGTATTTTTATCTAAAAATCAGATTTAAAAGTAAAATTATTAAGAAACGAGTAAAATTTAAAGATAAAATTATTATCCAATTTTTTTTTTAAAATTCAATTATTTTATAAATTATGTATTAATTTTATACTAATTATGTTTTCTCCAGGAAAAAAACTTTTAAATTCATTTATATTTTTATTATAACTAGATTCGTCATTTATATTTTTTTATAATTTAATTGATATATTCTAATACATTGTTTAAAATATTCTATATTTTAAAATTTTCCTTGTTAATATGCAAATCTTACTCATCGAATTCATTTACCAACCATCTATTTCAATATATTTTTAAATAATTAAAAATATTAATCAATAAAAAATTTCATTAAATTGGATCATTTTGATAAAAAAAACATTTCAAATATGTTTAAAAAATTTATTGTCTCAATTAAATGGAATTAGAGTTAAAAATTAAACTCGTTACAAAATTATATAAGATTGAAATGAACTATGATGTAAAAATATATTAAACGTGATATAAATTGAAAATTTACATAAGATTATATAAATCATGACTCTAGCACTTATAAAATACATTTTTTTTATTAATTTAAGGTACTTACAAATGATAGTTTCTATTCTAACATATAAAATAATAATAGTAAATACAATAATAGTAATAATAATAGATCTACACATGTAGATTTGATTGGATTGGGAGGTTTGGGCAAGCATGTGTGTTTGGTACCGATAGGAGATGATGTGTAGCTAAGAACGTAGGGTTTTTTGTCCTAAAGTTTATGTCCTGTTGATACACCATCCACATCCCCATTTCTTTTCATTATCTATTCCTTCTTTCATGAGCAACAAAACAAGCACAAGAGGAAAATTGAAAATCTTCACCCATCCCATATCATCTAATTCCATCCTATTGTCTGTTAGCCGTGATTAGACCTATGATTTATCGAAATCAAGATTATTCGAAATTTGGATTTATCGAATATCATAAGATTATATGAATTAAAAAATCTTTTGTAATTGTGATTAAAAAATCAAATTGTATAACTGGATTATCAAATCATTCGATCTCGATTCAATTGATTTTGTAAATGTGATTTTAAATTCAACGTATTGAATACGACTTTGCATCCTAACATGGCTTATCGTGTAAACACACAAATTTCATATTTCTTTTTCATCATCTTCTTGCTTGGGAAAATGAGTCCATTTTCTCAGTCTTCAATGCATTGGGGGGAAATACTTGGATGTTACCAATTTACTTGCTGAATGACTGTCATGGACTCGTAAGATTAAACCCTTAAAATAGTGTCTATATTCGTTGCAATAGGAGACATGGGGCCCCAGAACCGACCAAAGGACAGAATGATACAATAAAAAAACACCATTTGTCAACAAATTTGTACATGATGGAATGCTTCAAGTGCAAGTTCTGGTTTTCCACTAGCATATGAGAAAAAAGAAGCAAAGCAAAGAATAAAGATGTGTGCAAGATGGTGATGATTAAAGGGGCTGTAATTTGTTTAAAGTAATGCCTCAGATCAGTTCCTAAAAGTTTAATTTGCAACAGAAAAAGCTTACAAGTGATTGTATTTTTAGCTGGGAGCCAACAAAGTGTCGATTTTTGCTGGGAATTAAAAGAGAAATGGGAATATAGGATCCAATGTACTCCACATCTTTAGCCACAGTACTCATTGTGTGGTCACTGATTCGCTGGAACATAACAATCTTTTCTTTTTGTCTGAGGGTGAATGCCATATTCGTTGGAGCTTCATCTACCTATCAGTATGTGCACAAGCAGTTGACAGTGTAGAGAGATCGAGCTGAATTATATAATACATTAAATTTACTTAAATATGATGTAAAATACATTCGAATTTGATATACAAAATCAAATTTATTAATAAAAAGAAATAATAGTTTAAATTTTATTAATTTAACTTCTCCATGGCAGCATATATGCTGCGACTAATATTGCTGTTCAGATGATCAAGCTCCTAAATTTTGATTGATCAAAAACCCTTTGCAGCCTAAGCAGAAGCAATAGGCCTTTTCTTATATATATATAAAAAAAACAAAGAAACAATAGATTTGAATCTTTAAATGGTGCCAAAATTTATACATGGATAAATTTTGTATTTAGTCATTCAACTTTCATTTTTTATGTTCTGATCCCTCAACTTTTAAAATTTCTAACTTTGTCACTTAACTTTAGAAGTTTTTTTTTGTCACTCAGCCTTTAATTGTTTAATGATAGTACCAAAACCATGTGTTTTGGACATTTCCTTTTATGAAACAAGTCTAATATTTTACCCTACTTCCTTGTAACCGAAACCCCTCTCTAATGTCATTCAACCTTCATTGGTCATCATTCACGATGTCACTAGTACCAAAAAAAAAATCCACTTTCTCCCTTTGTAATCTTAATCAGACATAATCTTCATTATCTGACTATTGTGAAATCAAGATATGTTGTTTTCCTCTTCTTATCGACCTCTCAACTGTATGAATTTAGAAGAAAGTACTTCAGTACCAAAAAATCAAAGGGAATCTGAAAATATGGACTTGAAAGAAAAGTTTCAGGGACTCATTGCATAAATTTATCCAGACAATTTAAGCCACATTAGATACTAAAGGGTAGAGTTAAAAAAAAGTTTCAAAACTTGAGTGGAAAATCAGAAAATTAAAACATTGGATGATTAAAATAAAAATAAAGTGAAAGTTAACTGAGACAATGTGTAATTTACCCTTTATATATTCTAATTTTATTACTATCAATAAAGGATTTAAATAGCGATTGCGGTTGCGTTTATCACGTTTGTGGACATAACATGCGCTATTGCGATAATTAAGGGTATCGCGGTCATATAATAGCAATATCATAAGGCACCGCTACCACTATAGCGCAATATAACGGTAGCAGACTGCTATTTAAATCCATGCTATCAATTTAAGATTGATTACTTGTTCATAGGATCGCGAAAATAAGCACCTGTGGTTTCCTCCGTTTACGTAAAGGTAGGAAGAGTGTATGGAGTCTGAGAGCATTGGGCCTAAAACAACGCGCTTGCGTTCCCTAGACAAACCCAAAATCCCCACTGCTTGAAATCAAAGAATTCTATGTACTCAATCCAAGATATTTTCAATTTGTAGAAGAGGTCCATAACAGATACATCAATGCACAGGTGAGCGGAGCATTAACATCTCTAGTCGAGTTCTCAACCGATGAATTTCCAGTCTAAAAAATAAGACCATTGGAAAAGTTGCATCTTTGGATCATCTTCAGTATCGTTCACTACCTCAACAACAATAGTAGAATCCAAACCCCTGGCTTGTATTGACTTGACTGTCCATGTTGGTGTGTCGGATTCATACTCGAACTAGACCCTGATTCAACAAAGATGCAAGTACAATCGTTTCAAGCTTTGGGGGTTTATGGAGTGATTTGGTTCTTTTGCTCTTCATTTTTCTTCAAATGAATGAGCCTACAAGGTGGGTGCTTTGCTATTGATACGAGATGTGGCGTTACAGGTTAAGAGTGTTGAAAGTCGGGAGTGATGGTTCTAGTGAGCTTAGAGAGGAACAGAAGATTCTAAGAGAATTTTGGAATGAAAAGTAAAGAGTTTTGAATCTTTTGGGTGATGAAGAGCATTTGAATATGTGAGAAGATAGATGTGGGTTGAATAAATGTCCTAATATGCATGGTTGGTGACAGTCATGGATATCCTTACTAATTCATGGCTGGCAGCATTCCATTAATGTTTTCAACAACTGAAAGGGTAAAATCTGGGAAATCAAAGCTACATTTTTTTTTTGGATAAGTAGAATCAAAGCTAAAATTATATTTCTGCAAACGTTCAGATTCCCAAACTACATTTCCCATGGGAAAAATGTTAAGATATCAATGCCTAAAAACATGTTACACAAATGGGAAGTAAGCTTCTAATTCTTTTCTTATACTACCATGCAAGGAAAGAATTCTCAGTTTCAGAATCACCTACCAATTTCTTGTTCATCAACGTACTCTAGTCTTCTTCCCCTTCTTTCCCACATGCTTGTCCATGTGAATTTCAGATTCTGGAAGCACCAGCTGCCCATCATTCTGGTTCTTGTCCAACACCTTCAATGCCACTGTTTTCAGAGGAACCCCAATGTCTACAGGAAAAAGCACCTCTTCCAATTCCACCCAATCAAGATCCTCAGAATCCCCATCTTCATACTCCACCCTATACCACCCAGTTTCCTTGTCGAATTGGATCACTCTCCCATGATAATATTTTCCCCCAAACAGTTTCCGAACTTCCCATCCTTCCAACCATTCGCCATACCCTTTCTCTTTCCGAGACCCGTCGTCTTCCTTGATGGAATTAGAGGGAACAAGGGTGCTGCAATTTGGGTCTATCTTAGGGACGCCATTGATAACAACAGCCGACTCTCCCCGAATTTCGTATACAACAGGCTCTGGTTCTCCCTCCTTGGATTTCTTTTCCATTTCAATTAGGGTTTAACGAAAGGAAACATGGAGGAGGATTTGAACTAATTTGAGAAAAGCGAAAAAAAAACACCTAATCTGCTTTCGAGAGTTTGAATTGCGAGTCCGAGGCTTCATGGGCTATGATTCTATACAGGGTTTTAAAAAATGATCCGCAACCGCGATTTCGGCTGCGATATAGCAGTTTCGCCACCGTCTGAGTTACCCGCGAAAGCCGCAATAGCGTCCGCGACAGCCACAATAGTGCCCGCGACGGTCGCAATCACAATAAATCCGAAATAACTAAAAACGCGATCGCGACCGCGATTTGAAACCCTGATTCTATACACCAAGCGCCAATGTAACTGTCACTGCTTTCCATTTAATGATGTGATTTTGAACTCAAATTTCACCTGTCGCATTTCAGCTTGTCCTATTGGATTTGTGCTTATTTAAAATTACGAATCTCTGAAATAGTATCTCCCCGAGATGTCTCAAAATACAAAACTTTCTTATTAGGGAAAGGTAGATTCTTCTTCTTCAACCACAAAATCTGTAAAGCAAGCTCTTAACATGAACATGAACATGAACATGAACATGGTGGATTTTCACTCTGAGTTTCACCTTTCAATGGATGAGGATTGGATGTTTGAGTTCTTAAAAGGCATGGTGAAGCCAGTGGCTTCCCTTGCTGTTGTTCTCATAGCCGTGATCTTATCTTTCATGCAAAATATGGGTTTGGAAAAAGAGATGGTTTATTCCATTTTCATAGCTTTTCTTTAGCTTTCTATTATTGGGTTTGTTCTTATTAGGTATGGCTCATAAATATATCGGTAAATATACCATGTTTTATTTATTATAAAAGGAGATGTAACCAAAACCTATGAGATATTAAATAAAAATTCTAGCGCCGCCTAGGGCACCAAGGACGTAAGTACATTGTTGAACCTCGTTAAAATTCTTGTGTTCTTTCCGTTTCTTTACCCGATTATTCAACAATTGGTATCATATGTCAGGAGCCAAATTCGAAGTTGCGAAATTCGATGGTCAGGGTAACTTCGGATTATAGCAAACAAGGGTGAAGGATCTGTTGGCGCAGCAAGGGATCCTGAAGGCTTTGCGACCTACAAAATCGGCGTCGATGGAGGAGGAAGATTGGGAAGAATTGCGGAAGGAACCATACAATTATGTTTGGCGGATGAGGTCATGTATCACGTCATGCATCTGTCGTCTCCAGATGAAATTTGGAAGAAGTTGGAAAGTCAGTTTATGTCCAATTCCTTTACGACTAAACTGTATCTAAAGCAGCGGCTGTATGGGCTGAAGATGCATGATGATCATGATTTGGCGCAACACGTGAATGTCTTCAATCAAATCATTTCTGATTTGGCTCGGCTTGATGTGAAAATTGAGGATGAAGACAAAACGATGATTATGTTGTGTTCGTTGCCTCCCTCTTACGAACACATGGTTACTACTCTTACATATGGGAAAGAGACTATCAAAGTTGAGAAGATTACTACAGCCTTGTTGGCTCACAACCAACGGAAGCAGAATGCAGGGGAAAGCTCTCAAGTTAATAGCTTATATGTCAAGGGTAATCGAGACTGTGGACGGAAACTAGAGAAGACAGGGTTTGGGAAGCAGAATTTCAGATCCAAATCTAGGGATAAGAAGACAATTCACTGTTACAAGTGCAAGGAGGTGAGACATGTGAAGCGAGACTGTCCAAAGTAAAAAAAACAGGCTGATGAGAAGCGTGATGACTCATCCAAGTCTGTGAATGTGGTTGAGGATGAAAATTCTGATTGCAGTGATGGTGATATGCTCTCTATTTCAACGACTCAACTGATAGATGCCTGGATTCTTGATTCTGGATGTTCTTATTACATCACGCCAAATAGAGAATGGTTTTCGACATACATGTCAATTAATTCTGGTTCTGTTTATTTGGTTGATTATCGATGTTTCAATATTGTTAGTATTGGTGATGTCAGAATTAAGATGTATGATGGTTTTGTTCGGACGTTGTGTGGTGTTTGGCATATCCCAGATTTGAAGAAGAATTTGATTTTTTTGGACACTTTGCACAAAAACGGTTTTATCCCTAAGGCTATTGAGGATAGGGAAACCATTCAGATTGTTAAAGGAGTTTTTATTATGATGAAAGGAAAGATGACTGCAGAGAATATTTACATATTGTTAGGGAGTACCGTTGTAGGTGGAGTTCATTCTATTGAGTCCAGTGATGATACTACCAAATTGTGGTATATGCATCTTGCTCATCTTAGTGAACGTGGTATGACTGAATTACATAAAAGAAATCTATTTCATGATATTAAAAGTTGTAAGCTCGATTTTTGCAAGTATTGCGTTCTTGGTAAACAGATTAAAGTTCGTTTCAAGACGGGGAAGAACACAACTGAAGGGATTCTTGATTATGTGCATTCTGATGTATGGGGGTCTTCCACGACATCATCTTTGGGTGGATCTAGGTATTATGTTACTTTTATTGATGATTTTTCAGGGAAAGTTTGGGTGTATTTTTTGAAACAGAAGTCTGACATTTTTTAGAAGTTCAAACTGTGGAAAGCTGAGGTAGAAAACCAAACAGGACGAAAAATCAAGTGTTTATAGACTGACAATAGTACGGAGTACAGAGATTCACAATTTCTAAACCTCTGTAAGGAGCATGGGATTAATAGAGATTTTACAGTGCGCAAGACACCACAACAGAATGATATTTCGGAACGGATGAACAGGTCGTTGAATGAAAGAGCTAGATGTTTGCGGTTGAATGCGGGCTTCCCAAACACTTCTGGGCTGAGGCTGTTAACATGGCGTGTTATCTTATCAATAGATTGCCAAGGGCTTCATTGGCTGGGAAAGTTGCAGAATAGGTATGGACTGGTCATGATGTTACTTTTGATCACTTACGGATTTTTGGTTGTCCTGCTTACGTGCATGTACTTGCTGATGAGAGATCCAAACTAGATGCAAAATTGAAGGAGTGCATTTTTCTGGGTTACAAGACAGGTGTCAAAGGATTCAATTTCTGGGATCCAGTTGTGAAGAAAATTGTGATCCGTAGAGATGTTGTTTTTTATGAACAACCCATGTTGCAGCAGAAGAAAGACACGAAAGTGGTGGATTTCTAGCAGTTTCCAGTTGAGAAAATAGAAACTTCTCAACCGACTTTTGGTGGTTCCTCTACGGTTTATTTGTAGGATTATAGCCTCGCCAGAGACAGGGTGAGACGGACGAATATAAAGCATCCGAACAGATTGAGTTTTGAAGACTTGGTCTCTTTTGCACTTACTGTTAGCAGTAATGATCTGATTACTTTTCATGATGATGTTACTAGTCAGGAAAATGACAAGTGGATGGCTGCCATGGTTGAGGAGATGGAGTCTTTGAATCACAATCGCACATGACAGTTAGTTCGTCTTCTTGAGGGTAAGAAGCCTATTGATTGCAAATGGGTGTATAAGAAGAAACCAGCTGTAACAGAAAAAGAGGGGTAGAAGTTCAAGGCTCGTTTGGTAGCAAAGGATTTTTCACAGTAGAAAGAAGTTGATTATAATGAAATTTTTTCTCTTGTGGTCATGCACAATTTAATCCGAGCAGTAGTTGCATTGGTGGCTAGTTGGGATTTGCATTTAGAGCAAATGGATGTTAAAACTGCTTTTTTGCATGTTGATTTAGAGGAACAGATCTACATGCAGTAGCCTGAAGGTTTCACTCAACCTGGAAACGAGCATTTAGTTTGCAGTTTGAAGAAATCTTTATACGGGTTGAAACAGTCTCCGAGACAATGGTACAAATGGTTTGACTCCTATATGATCAAGATTGGCTACAAGAGACGTGAGTATGATTGTTGTGTCTATTTTAAGAGCCTTGATGATGGTTATTTTATTTTTCTGTTATTGTATGTTGTTGATATGTTAATTAATGCGAAGAACATGGATGATGTTATCAGTTTGAAAACTTTATTGAGTCAGAAATTTGATATGAAAGATTTAGGTACTACAAAGAAAATTCTTGGAATGGAAATTTGCAGGGACAAAGACTCAAGGAAACTGTGACTATCTCAATGGGGTTATGTTGAGAAAATGTTAGAAAGGTTTGCGATGAGCAACGCAAAACCAGTGAGCACTCCATTGGCGAATCACTTTAAACTCTCATCAGAACAGTGCCCTAAGACAGATAAGGAAGCTGAAGATATGACAAAGGTTCCGTATTGTAATGTTGTTGGCTGCTTGATGTATGCAATGGTATGTACTCGTCCTGATTTAGCTCATGTTGTTAGTAAAGTTTGTTAGTACATGTCTAAACCTGGTAAGCAACATTGGGAAGCAGTCAAGTGGATCTTTAGGTACTTAAAGGGTACTGTGGGACATGGAATTGTTTTTGGTAGTCAGTGGGATAATCCTTTGGTTGTAGGATATGTGAATTCAGACTATGCGGGTGATTTGGATAATAGAAAATCTACAACAGGGTATGTCTTTACTCTTGGTGGAGGGCCTATTTGTTGGAAGCCAATTGTTCAATCAGTTATGTCATTATCTACAACTGAAACTGAATATATAGCAGTGGCTGAAGCTGCAAAAGAAGCTTTATGGATTACTGGTTTAGTGAAAGAGTTGGGTATTCAGCAAGGTGGAGTTAAGTTGCTTTGTGACAATCAAAATACTATTCACTTGGCTAAGAATTAGGTATATCATGCTAGAACTAAGCATATTGATGTAAGATTTCACAAGATCAGAGAGTTGATTGCATCTGGAGAGATTTTGTTTCAGAAGGTACATACTGATGAGAATGCCGCTGCTATTTTCACCAAGCCAGTTACGACAGACAAGTTCATGCATTACTTGGACTTGTTGAATGTCGAGTTGTTAAAGAAGTAAGGTAACCCAACCCACATTGAATGTTTCTTAAAGGGCAGGATATTCGCCAAGGTGGAGAGTTGTAAGGTATGACTATACTGATAAAGATAGAGTTATTTTTGTAAATATGTACCAGAGTTTATTTATTATAAAAGGCGATGTAACCAAAACCTATAAGAATGTTTTTGGATATTATACAGAA